GCTAACCAAAAGGTCGGTGGTTCAAACCCACCAGCTGCTCCACAGGAGACAGATGTGGCAGTGTGCTTCCGTAAAGATTTACAGCCTTGGAAGCCCTGTGGAGAAGTTCAGAATCAACTTGATGGCAATGGGTTTCAAGGTCTGGATTTTAGAAATGCACTTCCATTTCATTTCAGCATTTGTGCAAAACATCCAAACAATTCATTCAAAGGTATGGGTTATTTTTTGAAAGATGAAACATATGTATTTACAAATATATTCTTCACCTGACACAAGAAATATTACAACACATTAATAGAAACAGGAAAACAACAATTAATTTAGCTGGCATGTATTTTTTCCCTGGTTGCCAAATTTTATGCCAAGTCATAGCAACTATATTAAACCTTGTGATTAGGACTTTTATTCCTTCCCTTTTTTGTTTTATATTTTTTGTGTGTTTATTTCCTCTTATAAAACCCAGAAGCATAAGGTTAAAATACATTTCGGTCAGCCCAGTGAAGCAAAGTCTGCTTACCAGAGAGTCAGTTCATATTCAGGAAGAGAGGAGTAACTAGCCAGGTATGTGCCACAGTGACTGAAGGTAAGAAAAGTGTAGTCCAGAAGAATATTGCCTAAAACATAAAATCCATGAGAAGGATTTCATTATTGTGTTTAGAATAACTATAGTCTAATATAGTTTACTTCTCTTTTCCAATAATTTTCACATAATTCAAAAGGATTTTGCTCTTGGAATAAGAGATCTCTTTGCTGCTTTCTGAGACTATAAACAAAAAGCAAAGAACAAAGTTTAGGTCAATTTTTAAAAGATATTAGAGTGAGTGAAAACCACTAGGTCACTATTTCCAGACTTGAGTGTGGAACTGTAGTACCCGGTATGTCCCAGCATAATCTTGATGACCCACCAGCCATTAAATATTCCATACATATAAGAAACATTGTAATGAGAAAAGTTACTCAAGCAACTTTAAATAGTTTGAATTGTAATCATTCTAGTTTATTCCCTGATCTCTGTATATCTTAAATCGTATCTGGCC